GATTGTTAACTGCTTTCATAAATACTATGCAAAATGTGGAAAGAGCCAGAAAAAATATTGGAAAGAAGCATCTGCTTTGCTCTGTGTGCAAAGTGCCTGTGCGACTCAGTCTTTTTGCAAAGCACAGAAATTGCTTCACGTGTGGATTAACTGAGCATTTCCACAGTAAAGATATTATTTTATTTCTTTCTGGCTTATTCTTTAAATCATTTAGCTTAAATCCATATGATTTTAAGTGTTAGATTATTTCAAAAGAAAACCTATCTTGGAAAGACAAGACTTGTTTCAGGATTGCAGGATTCCGAAGCGTGTGTGTGTGTGTGTGTGTGTGTATATAGTTAAAAGAATTAGGATTAATCCTGATTTGCAGAAATAACTCAATACCAATAATTCATTAGAGTAATTCAGTAATTTTCTGGAAGCATTAGCTTTTGATCCAGTAAGCTATTATATGTGCTAGGTGTTTCTGTCATTGCACTGGCCCTCAGATATAACAATTCTTTGTGAAATTAAAAAGAAACACATAACCTAAAAAAAAAGTAATGAATTTAAGCTGTTGAAATTAATGTAATTCTACATAAGAACTATTCTTTAGTGTAGCTTATGTTGCTTTAGAAGCATTTTAAACTAAGCTCAAAAAGTTGGTGTCAATCCAGAACAGTTGCTAGTACATGAGACTTTACAGCAGATGTAACTACTGTGATTTAACCACAGCAATACTGTAGACAAAGTCTTGGGTGACATGACCGTGCACATTCCACTGACAGCCAGCGAGTGCTCTTCAAATTTCTATGCTTTATTTTGTTCTTTTTTGTCCCTCTTTCAGACTAGAGAACCAACCTAGCATGTTGCTAAATATTTTTGTTTTGTAACACCTAAGGATGTTACAACAAAATACATGCATTAAACTTTGCGATGATACCATCTGTCTCTAAGAACAGTTTAATGAATCCACAACATTGACAAACAGTGCGTGCAAACTGTACGTGTCACTTACATGACTAAAATTTCTTATGGTACAATGAAATAAACTATTTCTTGTTTCAATGCTATGGTGCAAGATTTTCTGTCACAGTACGCTCAATTTCAACTTTTAATACCCCCCCCCCACTATTTCTTGTTTCAATGCTATGGTGCAAGATTTTCTGTCACAGTACGCTCAATTTCAACTTTTAATCCCCCCCCCCCCAGCCATGTATACATTTAGTGTTCTACAAAATACTTCTTTTTGTATTTTTTTGTTATGCACTGTCAACTAAAGCAAAGACAGGACAGAAAAGAAATGAAAAAAAAAAAGCCTTACCCTCATGAAATGAAGAAGAGTTACCCATGGCAAAGAGATGTAAATAGGAAAAGTTGGATGAAAGATATGTGGAAAGGAAAGTAAAGGCATCACTGAAAACAGGCAAAAAGAAAACAAAAGAAGTGAGGAGGAATGGGGAACGGTTCCTCTTAAATAATATATTCTGAAAGGCTAGTTTTCCAATGGTGTTTGTAAGGATTGTGGAAAGAAGCAAAGGCATGAACAACAGTAGTAACAGCTGCCATTATAGCTACAATCAGTAGTGATGCTGCTGAACAGGACTTGCTCTTGTCAGTACAGATTGCAAAATTGTAATCAGTGCCGTATTATCATCAAGAAATTTAAATGTCAAGTCACAACTCTGCAGAACATGTGAGTGAAATCAAGCCATGCAATAACATCTACATAAACCCAACTTTTTGTATATGCAACTGACAGAACGTTATGCACAGTATTACACATCGCCTCGGCCTTGCTCAAGCATTTGTGATTTTCCAGATCGGTAAAGTTGGCTGAGAATGCTTTTAAAAGTGTTTTTAAAGGTGTGGGGTTTTCTAGTTAGGCAACACTAATCCACTGGTGGAATATTACTTTGAAAATAAATAGAAAAATACCATTTCTGAAACAAGCAATGCTTAACACACTGATCTAGAACAGGGGACTTAGACAAAATAGAAGTTTTGAACCTGCATTCCCCAGTTCCCCTCTGCATATTGCTTCTCAATTGTTGATGGAATTACTGACTTTGTTGTTGCTGATCACTTGTTTGTTTTTGAGGAGACAGCACATGGAAGGACCCTGTACCTTCTCCTCCCTTGTCGTAAAGGTTTTGGTCTCATCATGATAAAGAAAAGGAACCAATATAGAAATCCTTAAAAAGGTTTCACAGAATGGAAAAATGCTCTCCACCCAGCTTTAGTATGGTTAGCTTTTATAACCAAAACTGTCTCTCCAGTGCTTCTGTACATCTCTCTGCTTTGAATGAAAGAACAAGAGCTATAGACTGGTTATAGTACTGAGAATGAGACAGCCATGATCCAGCTTAACACTGCTAGTGCTGAAAAGCCAGGAGAGTGCCACAGTGTTCATCTGCAGTCCGTAATTCACCATCAGTACTTAGCACAAGCATGAAAGAGGGTGAGGCAACCTGCAGCTGACTGCTGCTTTGTCCTCTGTGCTCGGGAATGGCACTGGGGCTAATGGAGGAACAAAGAGGGTCCCAGTAACCAGAAGGGTCATACATACGAGTTGCTGCAAAGGCCATTTAACTTCCATTTTCTTCAAAGGCTACTGCTAAGCCCCACCTTGCCTGTCACATAGGTCCACTCTAATTCGTTATGTAAATTTGGATTACTGAAAAGAAATGGTAGATTTAATCAGATCCATTTTGACTGGAAGAATGAACCTTAGAGAAGCTGAGGCTGTCCTTCCCACAGAGTACATGACACTTGGGTAACACTGGTAACACGTATCACAGTTAAATATTATCTGGACTCACTCTGTCCCATCCATCAGTGTTTTGGAATACACTGGACAACTCCACACGCTCATCCATCATTTTTACTAATAACTCATTTACCCACAAGATTTCTCCAACCCATTGTTCTCTTTGTAAATAAATAAAAGATCTAACACAGTTATCATACATATTTCCAATTACACTGCCCCATAAACTGTCCTGAACTCCAAACTTCTCCTCGTAGTAAAACACATTAATCCACTGTGAATTGTTTTGGATTATTAAGTTTAAATTTTTTGCTTTACCCTCTCTTAAAAGGCTGTTTATTTCTTTAACAGTATTTCACAAGAGCTGTCAACAGCCTCCTGAAAATTTATAACAGTTACAATCTTTGGGTCCACTGTCATTCCAAAATCATAATTTATTTCTTTTTTTCTTTTAATGAGTTGTCTAACAGGCTAGAATGATATGATTTGCTGTTGTAAATGCCATTCTGGTTTGACCCTATCAAGTTATACTTATCTAAGTATTCACACTATTTTATCCTTGGGCTTAATAGGTTCTCCTTGTTAGTGGTAACAGGAGGTCACCAGCTAACCCTTTTGCAGCATGTTGTGTGTATGGTTTGCTTTATGGACTCTTGTTGGCTCCTGTTCCCCATTAAAAAAAAAAACCCTACAAACTCAAAACCAAAAAAACCCCCACCTAAGTTCCAGAAATTAACGAAAATTATTATAAATCAAATTTCCTACCTAATCTTTCATAGGTTGTTAAAAAAAGGCAACAGAAAAAATACAAAATATTCCAAGTTTTTATCCTGCTAGTGATTCCAAGGAAACTAGAACAAAGATTAGAAAAGTTTACTTCCATCACACCACTATATGCTATTTGCAGTCATAGCTTTGTCTTTCAAGTAAGCAAAGGCTTATATGCTTTGAAGCAAATTTGTAACATGGGTAACAAACACTAAATGGTACAATTTGACTGCATTACCATACCATTTCTTTAAATTAATCTCTACAATAAAAATGTTCATGCAATTTATCACAAGCTTCTAGCTTTCCATGTTTATCCCAAATGAAAATCTGGAAAAAACATACAACTTGCTTCTCCAGAAGAATGTGACTATCATAAACCATAGCAACAGCAAAAGGTTAAAAAAAAGCAGACATATGGATGCTGAAAAGCTCAAAAACCTATGTGAAATCAATTTAGCATTTTCTTGATACATTGCAATTAAAATCCATGCATAACTTAAAGCTCTGCCTTAAAGTCCAAAGGAAAAGCAGGTTTGGCTGTTCAAAGTATACTACTTTACAGAAAAGTTTTACTAATAAAGCAGTCTGGGTAGAAACCACCACACTGAAATAACATTTAATGCTGCCAGCGAAAGGTAGTAATGCTTACACATTCAGGGTACCCTGGTTCTGCCTTTTACAAGAATGTGTCTCTCACGACGCAGCTGCGACCGTGGGGAGAGCGACGGCAACAGCTGTGGCCGGCCTGTTTCTGAGCAGAGGTAGAAGATGGCTGTTGTGGCTTTCACTTACAGCCCTGGGACAAGAGTCAGAGCACCTTGCTTTCCAAGTGCCACTTACTGCAGCACCCACCCCAGCAAACATCTCTCCTGCACTGCCAACTTGAGAAGGAAGGAGAGTGAGAGAAGACAGAAAAATAACCTATCATTACTCTTCTCCAGGTGATTTCCTGATTAAACTGTTTGTGTTGCAGGAATACAAATTATTATTTTCAAGAGAAATTTGGACTGCTTTTAAGTGACATTTGCAGTAAAATTTATTCAATTTGGCCTGAATTGGATCTCTATTTCTTTGTATTGGAAAGTGTAAAGATTACTAACTGCACCAAACCCAGAATCTTTTGCAGCATTAAAGATATCACAGCACTAATACTACATCTGTTAAACAAGTATGACTTATTATCATTGGTCTTCTCATTTGTTTCAGACTTTTTAACAGAAATAACAAAAACTCTCCTATGCAAAATAGCTCACCATTCCAGATTTCCTTTTCAAAAATTTTTTAAACTGAAAACTCCAACAAAACTTTTAAAAGTAAAGCAGAAATGATCTTTTAATTCTGCAGTTAAAATTTGACATAAATGCACTCACATTCATTGCCAAATCCTCAATCTGCCTTTTGGATCACAACAAAGTCACTAAAAAGCAGAAATTTACACCATAAATTTCTTATGCAAACTATAAAAAGCACTATAACTTACCGATGTCATTGCTTCTTTCAGAGGAGTCTTTCTCTAGAGTGCCAGATACTGTACTGCCCACTAATTCCACTTTTGGACTATCACTCCTGCATTTGGATCAAGAAAAGGAGATATTTTATTGGAGTTTTTGTGTGGGTTACAGTAAATTGATAGCTAACTTGCAATTAATAATGAGAGAATGAAATATTCTTCCTTTGTAGTACCAGAGTAATAGCAATATGTCAGAGAGCGCAATCTCAGTAAGCAGACATGCTGTATGGATTAACCTTATATAATTTCTCCTTAACACCTGTCAAATAAGCCTGTTTTAGACACTGCAGTGTCCTGAATAATTCTTCAGATGTTCACAGCATCGCAACATGAAGGAAACCTAAGGGCAAAGGGACATTCTTCAACATCTTATTTGTAATTTTTTCTAATTAATTGGCTTGCATAAACTATAGTGATGGACTATCTAGAATATTGCAGAACGGGAGAGAGCCTCAAGTTATCACTGTGCATTTGAACAGTTCCACATATTTACTCATGAATGCAGCTCCTCCACCAGGTTTTTGCACATTGCCTATGAGACTAGACTATGAATATTGTTTCTGCAGGTCCAAAGAACCAAGATCACCTGTCTGTCCGAAATGTCTTTGGAATAGGCAAGTGTCAAGAGATGTGATACTTTATACAGAGGAACTATTTTTAAATCAAACAGGAGATCAAACATAAGCAACATGATTTCTCTGTAGAACTTTCCATCCCAGAACTACTTAAGTTTACTAAAATAATCTGACTATTGAAACAATTAATTAAAAAAGGGCCAGTGGTAGGTGAATAGCTTAGCATTGCACAGATCACACAGACAAATCCCTGTGACATTTACTGTGATAACAACTGTTCAGTTAACGCAATAAATTGTACTTACCATCATTACCAGGTCCCCTAACAAATATAATAGTTTTCCGTAACGACCATTCCCAGTGTAGCACTGTAACGATTATGATGTACATAAGGTACCCAAATTACAGGCAAAAATATAGATCTGTCCCTGAAACGACCCAGACAGATGTGCATTTCTATGAACAGCAATAATTAGCCATTGACAGTAAAATACATAGCAAGCTCCTGAATCTCGTCGATTTTTTCATTTGTCTCTGCTTTTGGTGCCATAAGCTGATGACAGATGGCCTGAACCTCAAGTCATGGCAGCAGTTTATGAGCAAAACACAAAGTGGCTGGAACCCCTATTTCAGACCTCAGGAAGGCTCTTTAGAGCCTGAAAATTTGTGTTAAAAAATGGAGGAAGTCACATATATCCTGTTAAACACAGTGGTAGGGTGACAAGTATTCTTTGAATGAAAAAAGGTAGACAATCAGTTTGTGACCTGAAAAACAAACTAGTCCTACACAGCTATCAATACGGCAGGCAGTCTGCACCAGAAAGGAAACAGAACTTTAATACATTTCTGGAAAAATGTATTAATTGGCAAGATGATAAATAAGGGTATTCCTCAAGTGATCTAACTAATCAATTAGTTTTCCTATCTTTTGGTCTTTAACTTTTCTTTATATATTTGTAAATCTGTAAGAAGCAACATAGTTTCTTGGCTGACAGGGTAATGAGCATCTGACTGCGTACTCTGTTTTACACACATACATTTCCCAGCAAACTGAGAGCACCATGTGAGTTGGAAGTGCTCTAGGAAATGTGTGAATACGGTTTTGGAGGAGATTCTTAGGATGGTGTGATTCAGGGCTGAAAGTCACAACATTTACCATTTGACTACGTAAGATACCAAGGTATATGACAACAACCCCACCAAAAAACCCAACTCTGCTGTCAAAAGAATCAACAGTCTTATTATGCCAATCCACATCCATCCTGTTGTGAAAAGAGTGGAGCCATCCCTTCTTGGTCACAGCGTCTCCCTCCCTCTGCTCATGCCCATGCAGACAGGCTGTCAGCTTCATCAGACAGATCATCAGCCTGAAAGAAACCCCACACTAATAGAAAGCCCACTGCAAACTAATTGCCATCTGGAGCAACTCCCTGACCCATATGGCTGAATGGCTGCACAAATGCTGGTGCTAACATAAGGGAGGCTGCAGGAACGGGCTGCCAGGATAGGGAACCTGCCCCTGTTAGCACATGAACGCAGAGTGGTTTAGACTGATTGTAAAAATGCACTTTCTTTAGGTCTTTGTGGCTTGCCTACTCCAAAGAATTGCCTCATCAGTAAATTGTATAATCACAGGTACATAATAAACTATCTAAATAAACTGTGAAGCCTTTGGAGCAAATTCTCTGAGACCTATCCTCTGTCCCACATGGTTTTTGTCTCTCCTATTGCCCTTGAAGCCCTAACCTGCCTCCAAGGAAGGAGGTTTACATTTAAATGGAAAAACAATCATCCTCACAAAAAGTCAGTGAGATGCATAACATGTAAGCCACTTACTCAGAACAGAAAAAAAACATCTTCTGCTCAGCAGCTGCTGTGGAAATCTCACAGGACTCACTTTATAACTACAGCAATTTTTCCCCCTAGGATCATGTACTGGTTTTGGCTGGGACAGAGTTAATTTTCTTTACAGTAGCCCACATGGTGCTATGTTTTGGATTTGTGATGAAAACAGCGTTGGTAACCCAGGGATGTTTTCATTACTGCTGAGCAGGGCTTACCCAGAGCCAAGGCCTTTTCTGCTCCTCACCCCACCCCACCAGCGAGAGGGCTGGGGGTGCTCAAGGGGCTGAGAGGGGACACAGCCAGGATAGCTGACCCCAATGACCCAAGGGATATCCCATATCATATGACATCGTGCGCAGTAATAAAAGCTGGGGGAAGAAGGAGGAAGAGGAGGACATTTGGAGTGATGGCGTTTGTCTTCCCAAGTCACCACTACATGTGATGAAGCTCTGCTCTCCTGGGAATGGCTGAACACCTGCCTGCCGATGGGAAGTGGGGACTGAATTCCTTGTTTTGCTTTGCTGCCATGTGCAGCATTTGCTTTATCAGTTTAACTGTCTTTATCTCAACCCATGGGTTTTCTCACTTTTGCCCTTCCGATTCTCACCCTCATCCCGCTGTGTGGGAGTGAGCAAGTGCCTGGGTTGAGCTGAGCGGCCTTCTGGGGTTAATCCATGACAGGTCAGCAAAAATTCTGCTGGTTCAATTTTTATTCTAATTGCCTTAGGTTTTTCAGATTCTGGAAATGGATACCAGCCGGTCTTAAAAATATTTACTAACTTATTAAACTTAACTGATCTAAAACCAAAACATCTTTGTCGAAGTGACTGCTTCCACTTGAAGTTTCACATTTCTTACTTATTCACGTAATTCGAATTCAAATTATGTGAACTTTCTACCCTTTTCCTGTAAGACACCCTTATAAGTTAGAGCCTACTAGGCAGAACAGCTATATGAGGTAATTCCACTAATATGAATTAGCTGATAAAGAAATTAATAAGAAACTGCTAGAACTGTGATCATCAACATGCATCATCATTACCTTAAAAATCATCTTTCCTTCTAAGTTTTAAGCTAACTACTGTTACAAGTAGAATTCTTTCAAATATAATGGTATTAGATGAAAAGAACAAAGCATTTTTTTCTGTGCTAGACATAGCACAGGTTAGACAATTAAGAACATAACAGGGTTACTGTTTAGATCTGCTTTTTCATTTCGTTAACATGAAAACGGAAATATCTTTAAAAATGCCTGTTTTCTTTATACAATTTTGAACTTAAGAAAAAGGAAAACAGAAGACTAATAAAACACCCCTTCACAACTCTAAATGTTTAAAATATTTATAAGATGTTTAAAATATTCCAGGCAAAGGATAGACCAAATGAACAGCTACCCCATTGCACCCCCAGCCAGTGAACTGAACACGAGGCTACGTATCGGTCTTGCCAAGAAGACATCACTTAGCTGAATCTAAAAGCTGTAGCAAATAATTGCTTTTCCAAGCATGCCCAAGTGACCAGCAGGTGTGGACTGTATTTTGGAACAACTGGGCAAGCATGTTCAAAGCCAAGAAGTCCAAAAGAAGCTGTTGCAGTAGCACCTGGATAGGCTAAGTTCTCAGAGATGCACAGCCAAAGCACTTCAGTAAGATGAAACTGGCAGCACAAGGCAGGCATCCTTTGTTTTTTTTAATGTGCTTCAGATTTCACACTGAGAGCATTTGTTTGATGAAGCATATGTGGAGGAATGAGGGGAATCAATGTCTAGGATTTCTATTTTATTCCACTCCACCCTGTACTCCATACTGGTATTTAATTCACTATTAGTATACTTGAACTCCAGTAGTTCAATGGCAGCTAACTTTTCTAACAGTTCAATAGTAAAATTATTTCTGTGCCTATATCCTAGTATTTCTGCAAGATGTGCAGCTTGCCCATTTTAGGCAACTGCTTTTTTCTGGTTTTCACCTATTTCTATCCACTGTGCATGAAGGATGTCTACAGTGTACAGCCGAGATGCTGATGACTGATGCAGCCATCTAGACTTGATTAGGACTATAGGCAAGGGCTTTAATTTCTGCAACCTCTGCTTTTCTAAGCTCTAGCAGAGATTAAATGGAGTTGTGCTGGCAAGTTCAACTTCTCAGTGCTCCTCAAAGGCTGTAACCACCATAAAGAGCATCATGTAACTACAGAATAACAACCAACATCAGAACATAAACACTTGACAGTAGTATTCTGCAGTGGCATCAGCTTAAAGAGCATTCTATGAACACACATGTATTTTGCTAAACATTGATCTAAAATGATCAAACAGATGAAAACCAAGCTGACAGCATTTGAAATGTGCATTGTCTAATGCTGTTCCTCAGTACAATCCAAGCTGTTGCACTGATTTCATGCCTGGGCTAAGCTGGAATAATTGGAAGTAAACTAAGAAAGTCAACACCAGCGCAACATACTGAGGCAGACACTTCCCACATATTCTGCAGTGGAAACTATGATGCTGCAGTAACAGTGTGTTCATCAGTAGAAATGAACCAGTAATGAACAGTCTAAAACTGTTACTCTTGAGAAGATAGTTATGATCCAGCCAGATGACTAGAAGGGTTTTTTTTTCCCTTTTTTTTTTCTTGAAATACAGTTTACCGTGAAATTGTGACATGAACTGTAAAATCTGAATTCTTTAAATGTGTGTGTTTTCCACTAATCCCAAAAACACTGGACAGAGGAAAAACAATACCTTGTATGAGTCACAGGCACAACTGGTCTTTCTGGTCGTCTCGGGGGCAAGGTACCAGGTCTATTCACAGAGTTTGCTTTGGGTGGCCGAGGTTTCTTCGGAGGTATAGCAGGAACTGAAGGCTTCTGCAAGTCTAACTGTTTTTGCTCTCTCTCTGATCTTTCTTTAAATCAATTATTTCCAGAAAAAAAGAACATGGGTATTATTAAGTGGAATTCATTTGCACTCACAAGTCTACAATTAAGCAAGAAATCTTCAACTGTAGATACACTGTATACAAAGAAAAAGCTTATCACCTTTCCACTTCTGTCCTGAATCATTCTTTATTTGAAATAACATGTTTACCACAAATCAGTTGTTTGCGCTGCCTGCCGGTTCTGCCTGTAATTCCTCATGGCGAAAATGTGTGTGTAATGTCTGAATGGGAATGAAATTTTTTATTTCAGTAAATTACTGATTTCTGAGTGTAAAAAATAAGAATGGCAAAAATTTACATACCATATGGAACAATTTCCCATGAGCACAACTTACATCAAATTCTAATATAAAACAATATTAAGTTAGAAAGTCACAAAAATAATTGTGCTGGATAGTCTTAACATCTCTTGAACAAACAAAGAAATACCATTTCTGGGGGGAAAAAAGTGTGTTTCAAGTCAACTACAGTTCAATGAAAATACAAGCATTAAAATTTAGCAATGTTTGGCAGGATGTAAACCCCTTGGAAAAATCAGACCTTTTATTTAGGTTTTTAAGCACAGACTTATATACTGAATTTTTCAGCTTGCCAATGAAAAACTGGATCATTTGCAGAACTAACTACGCATAGTTAGGAAGTGCCACAATATTAATATCCAATGCCAAACATGCAATGCCTGTGAGTATGTAAAGTATGATACACATGAATAACTCTTGTAAATAATATACTCTAAATTCATAATACAAACCAAACATGTAAACACATTTGCCACACCACAGGAAACCTGATTCTTCTTAAAGAAAGGACAAAACTCTCAAAGGGACCAAAGCTCCACTCTCTGTATCCTACTATATCAACACCCCGCTTCCCTTGATAACACTGTCTATGGTATGTTGGGAATATTACACCTCTGTATACGAGTAAGGGATAATGGGAATGTTAAAGGGTATTGCTTAATGGGTTCCAGGTTTCAGTCCAGCAGGATCAGGGAATAGATCACCAGAAACACAATCCACATTAGATTTGGAATAGTCCAGTAACGACTGCTGTTCACAGGCATATACCCTTTTTCAGTACACCTTCAGTTGATGCAACCGTCAGGTCCTCTGTAACATCGAAGCTTTTCCAGCACACTGTGTAATTTTTACACACTTACTCCTATGACAATTCATACTGTGTCAGTGTCCAAGAATCTAAACTGTGTATGAGGGACGGGCTAGGCAGCATACCATCACACAGCATAAGGAACGTGCCTGTGCCACACCACACCAAACAATTCCTGCCACTCCCCAGTACTACAGAAATGTAGGCATGACTCCTACAGCCTCTTTTCAACATTTAGAAAGGTTACAGATATTTATACCCTGGGACAGTAACATATCTAAACTTCCCCCATCATTTTGACAGTTGGCTTTGTAAATTCAAAAAATGGAAAGCAAAGTGTTTTATTGCTAAGATAACCACGAGAAGCAGCGCACATAACCAAAAGTAAACATACGTAGACAAAACTACTAAAACACTTGCTAGATCTCTAAGACATACATCCAGAAACAGATCTTGGTGTAAAGTCTCAATGTTCTGGCTCTAAATGATAACTGCTTATTATACATTTAGTCATAGAATCATGGAATGGGTTGGGTTGGGAACGATCTTAAAGATCACCCAGTTCCAACCCCCCTGCCATGGGCAGGGACACCTTCCACCAGCCCAGGTTGCTCACAGCCCCATCCAACCTGGCCTTGAACACTTCCAGAGATGGGGCATCCACAGCTTCTCTGGGCAACCTCTGCCACTGCCTCATCACCCTCACCAGGAAGAATTTCTTCCTAATACCTAATCTAAATCTTCCAATTTAAAGCCATTGCCCCTTGTCCTATCACTACATGCCCTTGTACGAAATCCCTCCCCAGCTCTCTTGTAGGCTCCCTGCCATGTGCATACACATGCCTTTTAAAAGACCGCAAGTTCGAATACTTAAAAGTTAAGAAATCCCATAAACAAACTTGTCCATACAATCTAATAGTCCACTTAAATGTATGAAACTTGACACCACCTTCAGTTAGAGAATCAGTGTAACTATTTTCCCCAAACTATTCAGAATGCACAATGAACACAACGAAACATTAAAGGTTTAATTTGCTTGTCACTCCTCTGTATGCTACTGTGCCCCATTTCTTGCAATGTTCAAACTTGGCTTTGAAGACAGAATTTTTTCATTTCTTCACAGGGCTGCCTACGACTTTTGTGACTATGATAATGGGGTGATTCATAAGCATTAATGACTATATCTTCACAAAACCCCTCTGTGATGCAGGAAAACCACCAACCCTGCTTATAACTAGAGAACCAAAGCACATAGATGTTAAGAAAAAAGTACACACTGTGAGAGTCGGTCTGAAGTTGGCC